CTCCCGTCGTCCCTCCCGTGGGTCTTCGTAGCATGCCAGGTTCGAGCCCGGGGGTTGAGTTGCCGTTCCTCGGATGAAGCAGGTGCAAGGGCCTCCAGGCCTCTCCTCGGACAGCGCGTCCAACAGGATCTTGGTGTGCCATTTGGGCTCATGGGGTTACTGCGAAGGACGCGGCTCACCCCGAGCCCACTCCGAGTGACCCCATGGGAACGGGGGGGGAGAAGAGCCGGACGCCGAACCGTCCGTCATCGCGCCTTCGCGCGAGTCAGTCTGGTTTCCTTCCGTGCCGATTGTCGGAGCTCGGGGGCGGGAGTGCGCAGCGTCTCTGGACCGACCGACGGCGGGGCCCGTCGGTGGCGGCGCCCCTGGCCCAAGCGAGCCGCATCGAACGCCGTCGGACCCGCGTCTTCTTCTGGCGCCCCTTGCGGGCCCTCAGACCACGAGCCGGTCGCAACTGCTGGTCTTGCGGATGTTGCCTCGGGGCTTGGGGGTAGGAGGGGGTGGTGGCGAGCGTCAATCGTTGCACCCGACTGCTGTGCCAGCGGATGGTCAATCGGAGGGTAGGCTGTGCCAGCGTTGGTTATCGACTCTCGCTGGGGTTCCCCCCCTTTGGCCGATTGGAGCTTGCGCGTCGCTGTTCGATGTTGGCTCTTGCGGTTTATGCTCGCGCGTGTTTGTGCCTGCAGCTGTTGGCGGCGTCCCTGTCGCGTCCGTGACGTGCTGTTGCAGGCCCCGCGCCTTGCCTCGGGTGCGGTTTAGGCTAGTTCTGCCCTCCGCGGTGCCAGAGCGAGCCCGGCGCTCGAGGGGCCCGACCACAAGAAACCTTCCACAAGAATCAAGGGAGGAAAAACCACCCGAACCGGACAATTGGCGTTTACTAAACGGCCCTGGGCGTTTACTGAACAGCCCTGCCCTGTTCGATTCCTTCAGTGGGGGCGTTTAGTAAACGGCTTCGCGTGTCGGGGTGGTTACCATCGGGGTGGATTCTCTGCCCTCTAAAGAAACCCGAACCTGAGACCCCAGGGCGTCCATTGATGCTTGGCGTGGAAACGTCGCGCTTTCCATAGCATAACCATCGAAACCCAAGAAACCCAGGGCACCCTGGAGGCGAGCAGGGTGTTTCTTAGTGTGGGCCCCCACTGCAGAGCGGCCTGAGCCCCACTGCAGGGGGGCCAACCTTCAAGACATCGGCCCGCCAACCACTATCCGCCGCCCCTCCCTCTTGGGCTTCGGCCGGCCATGCACCCTCGTTCACTTTTGTGCCCGCGCGAGGAAGCGAAGACGGATACGGGATGAGAGGGGAGCCAGGTAGAGGAGGAGAGTGAGAAGGGAGGCAGGTGGGGGAGGATGGAGTAAAGAGCGGGGTCTGGACCTGTGATCTCGGACCGTTGTAAAGAGCGGGGTCTGGACCTGTGATCTCAGACCGTTCTGCGGTCCCGGAAGTAGTGCTCCTCCTCCAACAAATCTTCCTCATCCCCCTCATCCGCCTCCTCATCCCGATCCTTATCCCGATCCGCGTCCTCCTGCGCCCCCACCTCGTCCCCCTCTTCCCCCCTCCGGATCCTGATCCGCTTCCATGTTTGCAATGCGGGAGACAGTTCCTGAGGGCCCGTCTTCGCCTGTCCTGCGGGATGTCATGCGCGCTGAGGCCAGGGGGGGATCAGATGTCGACACAATCGCGGCATGCGGCCACGAAGAAGCAGGAAGACTACGAGGACCTCATCCCATAATCAATCCTCCAGATAACCGAGCTCCGACGCCGACCACGGTGGCGCGCAGGCGATCTCTATGGACAGCATTGTGGTCCTCCTGCGGACGCACACCAACCCGAACCTTCCGCCATGGACGAGCTGTGATCCGATTGCAACTCTATCGGCATGCATGGATTCCCCGGGCCAGCGCCTGTCAATTTCCGACGCCCGTGTGGAGAAGCTCGATCACATTGTCGAACAAACCCGCAGAGCTTTCCAGTGGCCATGGACACGCTCGAGACCAGGATCTGCGAGGGCATCGAACACCACCTGAAGACGGAGCGATGTCTGAATGTCCAGATCTCCACCGCCCCCGAGGACATGTTCACCGCCAGCCTCGCGATTGCGGCGATGATAAAAAACAACTGGGCTGTCGAGAGGACTTTGAGGCCGCCAAGAATTGGCTAAACGGCGAGCTCGCATCGCTGCACACGTTACGAAGGCGTTCAGCAAGGGCGTACTCCAAGGCGCAGTCCTTGCGGGAATTGAGGATTCGGGCGCTCGTGATCTTGCTGCCGCTCCAGGTGCACTGCACTGACCCACGGAGCGCGAAAGGCACCTGGGCCAGCCAGGACCGCGCCATCGCAGACCGCGCACCACGCAGCTGCTGGTTTGGCTCGAGGGGCCCGCTGCAAGGTGCCGTGCTACAACGCCATCGCCGACGAGGCGCCTTACGTCTTCAGTGTGCGCTGACGATGATTGACAGCGCGCAGGGGGGGTAGGAGGGGGGGGGAGGCTTCTTAGAAGCAGGGGTACTTCTAGGAAGCCTTCCACCCAGCCCCCACCCCGTCTGCGCGCGGCCGAGGTAACTGTCTCCAAAGACGCTAGGTACCACCCAGGGCGGGGCGAGTGGTCGGGCTGGGCGGGGGGGGCTCCGCGGTCGCCGGCTCGTCGCGGAGCTGGGGCTGGGGGGTCAAGTACATCGAGCTGCTGGCGACGACCTCGACCGGCAGGCAGGGCACGACGAAGGGCGGAGCCGAGAGGCATCACCCCGAAGAGGGCACGCCGCACATGAATAGTGTTCCACCTGCTCCACCCACCATCATCGATTCTGCGGATATCATCTTGCATAGTCCGCGAACTCGTGCGAACGTATTCTGATTCGGCGTTTCGGCATTGGGCGGAAAGGAGGGGAGTGGGGGGGGGCTCCAGACCTCTGCTTAGTGCGACTGTTTGCAACAGTGCGTCCTCTGGGGGAGACTCCGCCTGCTCGAAACAGGCGCCTAGAACAACCAAGATCTACTCCATGGGGGGCGAGGGGGAGTGGAGGGGCGAGGGCCCGCGCCGATCGGCAAAACAATGAATAAGACAAATGTCGCCAATCGTGATGGTCTGCCTGGGTGGCGCTTCTTTTGCAGCCGGCTCTGCGGCAGAAGCTTACGTTTCTACCGCGGTGTGCGTCTGCTCCGTTGCAGCGGGGGGGCCTGGAACAGCGAACAGGCTGGGGGCCGCACTCTCGCCCACCTCCTCCTCCTCCCCCTCCTCCTCCGCCTCCTCCTCCTGCTCCCTCCTCCTCCTCCTCCTCCTCCTCCTCCTCCTCCTCCTCTTCCTCCTCTTCCTCCTGCTCCTCCTCATGCGTCTCCTCCTGCTTCTCCTCCTCCGCCTCCTCCTCCTCCTCTTCCTCCCTCGACCACTTCTGGGCGCCGACCTGCCGATGGCCCCCGTCAGCATGGCGTGGATGGCGCTCCCTTCCGCCGCAAAGTCCAGGGCCTCCTCAGGGGTGGAATGGATCCGCGCGCGCGTCGCGCGTCGCTCCTCCCCCTCCCCGTGCCGCCCCTACCCCGTCCCCAGGAGTCCAGCGGCTCGGACACGTCAGAACAAGGAGGACGGCAGTGCTGCTCGTTCACGTTGGGCATCTGGGAGCCGGTTTCGGGCCCCGGGGCCGCTCGAGGTGAACACCCAGCCTAGCAGCGCGGGGGTTCAAAGGTCCTGGAGCCCATGTCTAGAAATTCTCGAGACGCTGGATGTCTGGGCCCCTCTCGGATCTCCTTGCATCACCCTTCACTGTTTCGTTTGCGTTTTACCTTCTCCTGTACCTCATCGTCGTCCTTCTTAGGTTTTTTGGCCTCCGAGGGGGGCCCTCGCGTGGCTACGGCTGGACGCAGCCGGAAGACTTGGGGCTCATTTCGAACGGATCTCCATGCTAGTACAAGCTGCCGTCAAGCAGTAAGTTGACACTGTTTCTGCCATCTGCAGCGCGCCCTGCGACAGAGCGAGAGGAGGACGAGGAGGAGAGGAGGGGGGGGAAAGTGGACGACGGTTAAGTAGATTGGGTTTCTGCCCGCCCCTGAGCCCCAAGGGGCGCCCTGCTGTCGTGGAAGCAGGCAGGCGTTCCAGGAATCTCTGGACTCTGGAAATCTCAGAGTACTCGCTTGCAGCAAACGGCCAGTCCCCCGCCCTCCCTCCGCCCTCCGCCCCGTCTGCGCATCGCACCCGATCCCGCCCGTGCCGCCCAGGGGCCCCTACCGACGATCAGCAGAGACAGAGCGGAAGTGCCGAAGCGCAAGAACATCGGGCCACCTGAACCCGCGCTCTCGCCATCGCTCGGACGTCCATTCCCTGTGTTTTTTTTCGGTTTCGTGCGTGTTTTTTTTGCCAAATGATCTCCTCGACGGTCCTCGCCGAAGGAAGAATGCACACGTCCGAGCGATGCCGAGCGCTTTGACGCCGCCCTCGTTCTCCTTACCGAACGGCACGCCAATCAACGACCGCTGGTGCAGGTCGAGGCCGGGGGCAGCCAGGATCTGCCTCACGATCTCCACGGGGAGAGCTGGGCGCCGACGGCGCCAGTGAGAGCGATTCATGCACTAAAAGGCCATAGTGCGGCTGCGAGGTCTGAACCCCTAGTGGGCGCAATAATCTTCAAACCGCGTCTCGAACAAAGACGACAACTGTTTTCGGTGCAAGCCCAACTCCCCGCACAGTTTACCCCGGGGCCAAGCAACATACCGACATCGCCGCCCGATTTTCCGACTCGAATCCGGCCTTGGCGACGGGGGCCCGCGGGAGACCAACGACGGTAAATAGGAAAACGCATATGGTCTCTCACCGCGCCTGGGGCAGCATATCCTCAATACGCACGCGTGCCACGGTCTCGTCTCGACTCTCACTCGCGCCGCCCTCGCATGGAGCCCCTCCCCGAGGTCTCGGCGTTGCGGAGGCGCACCGCCAACATCAGCGGCGTGTCTCCGTGGCCATGGCAGTTCGCCACGAAGGCGTTGGCGTCCGCCCTGGCGCCCAGCAGCGCGGCTATGACGTCCTCCCGTTCCTCCCGCACTGCCGACACCAGCGGGGTGGCCTCGTAGTTGTCCCGGGCGTCGACGGCCACTCCTCGGGCGGGGGCCACCCAGGCCGAGCACTCCCGCTGCCGTGCCCCCCGGTGACCCTCCCAGAAGCGGCGCCGCGGTCGCCGCAAACTCCGACGGAGCAGCGGCGACACAGCGCCCCAGGACCCCCAGCCCAAGGACGCGCGCTCCCAGACAGGAGGCTCGGCGAGCACTGCGCGCGAACGCTACGCGCCATGTTCGAACATCACCTCAGGCCGAGCTGCGAACGACGCCACCGTGCCAGTTCTCCGCGCGGGAGAGCAGGGGGAACAAAAAGAGCGTGGGGCAGTGACAGTGGGTGGGGAGGACTTGAGGAGCTCGCTTACCTTTGCGTCATCCCAGCTCGGATGGCGCACCGCCGCGCCCAGGTAGCTCCGAAGTCCCCCCAGGCCCACGTCACCCTGTCCCCCCGCGCGCGACTGGGTCACCCCGGGCGGCGTTCATCGCTTCCTGCCAGGGGCAACACAACACCCACTCGAAGCTGCTAATGTTGCAGGGATTTTAGGATACCCGCTATTTCGGCTCCGACAATCCAAGGCGGCCCTAAAGGAACCCAAGACAGCCCCAAGACGGCCCAGGTGGGCCCCTAAGACGGCCAAAGCGGCCGCCAATATGGCCCAACAGGCCAAGGTCGCAAAGGGTCCCAAGAGGGAAAACTCGAACTGGTTTCGAGGCTGTCCCTCCAAGTTCGCCTTCAAGACACCGCGCGTGCCCCCGCGAGACCCTCAGAGGATCCCAAGACCCCGTCCAGAAGCCCAACAACATCACCAAGAAGCCCCCGAAGGCCCCCAACAGGCCCCTAAAGGCTTTCCAGAGGGCCCAAGAAGCCTCAACAGACCCCTCCAAGGCCCTGAGAGGCCCCCAAGAAGCCCTCAAGATGCCCAGAGAAGCCTTCACAAGGCGCTCAAGAGCAAGGGAAGAGAGGGAATAGGACAGCTAGGTGCGCAAGGGACATATCAGACGTCCAGCCCCTCCCTCCCATCTACTACAATTGCGTAGATCTTTCTAGTCGCACAGTCGGATATCGAACAGGGCAACGATCCCGAGATAGTACGCGATGCATGGTATAGCACGCATAGCATGGCATCGCGTCGAGAACGCGACCCATTTCGACAACAATGTCACAAGGCAACCAAACATGACACAGGACGGGGAACGCAAGTGGACGATTTGAAAGCGGGAAGCGCAAAATGAGATCAGCGCTTCAGCGGGAACACGATTTACAGGAACCGAAACCGCGGAATGAGACCACCGCTGCAGGGGGAGCACGATTCGGAATGACTGGAAGCCACTCGAAGCGCGGAAACGAAGCCAGCGCTGCAGCAGGAACACGATTTGGAAGAACCGAAACATTGAAATGAGGTCAACACTACAGAGGGAACCTGATTTGTAACGGCTGAGACCGGGAACATGGAGCCATCGCTGCAGCGGGAGCGACATTCTGAAACGGAAACGTTCCGATTGGAGAACACATATTGCTTACCAATTCGGCGGCATCCTGTGTTCAAAACCAATACGCGAAGGAGGCCAGTGCACCTCACAGGCGTCTTCGGGTGAGCGAGGAATATCGGATTCATAGTGTGTTATTGCTGATGAGAAGAAGCGAGGAGGAGGGAGAGGAACAGGGAGGAAAGAAGATGATAATGAGTCTGCGGACAAGGAGGGGTGTCCACGACCCACTCCCGTTCAGTGCCTCTCTGAACTTGGGTGTGTCATGATGTACACAGCGGAAGCCAGTCCATAAGAAACCTTACACAAGAAACCCAACCCTGAGACCCCAGGACGTCCAGTCATTTTTGGTGTGGGAGCGTCACGCTGTCTATAGCAGAACCATCGAAACCCGAGCAACCCAGGGCACCCTCGAGGCAAACAGGGCGAGGGCTCCGCGAACGAGGAGAAGCAGGCAACGACGACGACGCCGCCAGGGGGCGCGGGCCCCGAGTGCTGCACGCGAGTTCGACGGAGGAGAGGCCCAGGAGGAGGAGGAGGAGGAGGAGGAGGAGGAGGCGTGAGGCGGAGCGCGCGGCGGCGGCCGGGGGGGGGGTCCTGGGATGCGCGCGAGGCGCACGGCGACCGACGCGTGACCCCACCGGGCGCAGATGCTCGGCGGCGAGCGAGGGAGGGAGGGAGAAGAGAAGGCCTCCTCAGAAAGGCGGCGGGACTCCTCAGAAGCCCCCGCGCCTTCTGAGGGATTGTCTGGAGACTTTGTATAACTACTACTATTATTATTCTTATTATTCGTATTATTAATATAATTATTATTTTGGGTAACGGCTGTTACCCTGGGGGGGGGGGGCGGCGGGCAACGGTAACTGCGGCAGCGGCGTGCGCCCGCCAGGGTGCGTCCGCGCCATCGGCACATCAATTGCCATACCTGCTGAGAGGAGGGGGGTCCGCCCTCCACCCCCCCAAAAAACTACGATCGTTAGCGCTACCCGAGGGGAGGGGGCGGGGAGGGGTTGGGCCCGGGTAACAAGCGTTACCCGCCAGAGGAACAAAAACAACGCTCTCCTGCGTCGTCAGGGAAGGCTTCGAAAGCTTCTCAGGAGGCCGGGGGGCTTCCGAGCCTTCTGAGAAGGCCCGCCCTTTCTCACTTCCCCCCGGGCTCGCCGCCGAGATGTGGAGGGGGGTCTCGCCGCGAATGTCTTTGCAGCGCGCCATGTCGTCGCCCCCCGGGCGCGACATCAGCCAGCGCACAAGCCTCGCGTACGGCGCGCGGAGCTTCCTCTCCAGGGCGACGTGCAGGAGCGTGGTTTTTCGGTTCGGATCACGCAAGCCCGCCAGGCTCTCGTCCGGCGCGGTCGCCCATAGTCCAGTGATGTCCCCGTCCGCGCAGAGGTCCCAAAGTGACCTCTTGCTGGCGAGATCACAAGAAGACCATCAGCCAGTCAGCAGTCAAGGACCCCACCACTTGCGTGGTTTCTAAGATGGCTTAACGCTTCTCGAAACACCATGGACTAGACGTGGGGGCAATGTTATTCGAGGTCCCACTGGATGATGAGGTACAGAGACGACGAGGAGAACGACGCGGACAACTCGGGGAGAGGAGCAGGTAAACTATCCTGGCAAAAGACCAGACCACCTGCAGTTGTGAATACCGCGTTGTGGCACCGCTTTCGGTTGAGCTCCGTATGGGGCCACGAAACGTGTGAGGTGTACCGAATTGGAAGGGGAGCCGCATGCGAACCCTGCCACTGAGGCCTTCGGTGGAGCTCCCGATGGGGCCACGAAGAGTGCGAGGGTGTGCCGAAATGGACGTGCGGACGGCAGAGACAGGGGTGGGAGAGGGGGGGCAGCGGGAGGGAGTGAGGTGACGGGGCGAGATGTCTTTTCAAAACGAGGGCTCAACACAACAGGGTGGTTGGGAAAAAACTAACCACCCTTAGTGAATGAGTTCGCTCCTGACCACAACAGGGGGGCGAGGAGAAGGGGGAAGGGGAGTAGGAGTTTGAGCTGATATGGGACCATCTGCAAGCATGATGACTAGATGGTTGAAACATCTGGCCAACGATGGAGACTAATTGCCACACGACCGCATCTCGCGGGCGACGTGAGTCATCCGAGGCGCTGGCGTCGGGAAAGCCCGCGAAATTATCACAGAAGGCCGTCTCAGCCTGACCTTCTGTGGACTCGTTCGGGGCTCACTGAACCCAATGTGCGTCTTATCCTAGCTGTCATCATCATTGCTACAATCATCATCCCCAATCTCGCATACTACGTCTACTAGAACCACGCGCGCGCTACGCGCGCGCTTAGGTTCTAGCAAGCTTTAGTTGCATTCTGAAGTATGCCAGGATCGTCGGGTTCAGACTCTGCCCGCGCTTCAGACTCCGCCCTCTGGGTGGATCGCCCACCCCACTCGTCGCCGTCATCCGTCGTCTTTTGGGGTCAACTTGGAACCATCGCGGGGTCGCATCAGGATCGTGGGGTCAACTTGGGATGCCTGTGCAGGGCTGTGCATCCGCATGTGTGTGAGACATCTTCGCAATTGAGTGCCTATGTTTCAGGTCAGACGTTTCCGGGCTCGCCTCGTCTTTTTCGCGCCCGGGGAGCGCGTATGAACACTGCGGTCTCCAAGACCCCTCGTCCTCCTCCTTCCCCTTCCTCCCTCCTCTATGTCATCGTCGTCCTGCCTCTTGCTTCTCTTTCTTGGGGGCTGCGAATTGCGAAACTGTCGCCACTATCGTAGGCCATATAGAGGTCAAGCGGAGTTGTGTCCCACGGCGATCAGAATGGGACCTCGCCGTTCCTGGGAGCTACGAACTGCGCAGCTGTCGCCACTTTCGCGCGCCCCTGGGCGGTCCAGCGGAATGGGGTGCTCCAGAGGAGGAGAGGAACAGGCGGAGGGAGGAGCGGGGAAACAGTAGGAGAAGGAGGGAGAGAAGGGAAGGAGGAAGAGCAGAGGCAAGAGCGCCGCTCCAGCCACCTCCACGCCACAGGAAGCCCCTGGGCGCTCCAGGAGGGCCCCTGGCACTCGGGAGGCCCACGGAGCGCTACCAGGAGGGCGCAGGGGGGCCCCAGGAGGTGCCCCGAACCGCGCCTCTCCCCGATGCCACCGCAACAGCCGCTGTCCCGAGGCTGCCCTGGCCCCACTCTCCGTGGAGGAGGAAGCGCACCCCCGCGGGGCCGCCCTCGGGGCGTGCATCGACACCACCGACCTGAGGGGGGGGGAGGGGGAGGGGAGGAGGAGGAGGAGGAGGAGGAGGAGGAGGAGAGGAGGAGGAGGAGGAGGAGGAGGAGGAGGAGGAGGAGGAGGAGGAGGAGGAGGAGGGAGAAGAGGAGGAGAGGAGGAGGAGGAGGAGGAGGAGGAGGAGGAGAGAGAAGGAGGAGGAGGAGGAGATGAGGAGGAGGAGGTGGAGGAGGAGGAGGAGGTGGAGGAGGCGGAGGAGGAGGAGGAGAGGAGGAGGAGGGAGGAGGAGGAGGAGGAGGAGGAGGCTGAGGAGGAGGAGGAGGAGGAGGAGGAGGAGGAGGGGAGAGAGGAGGAGAGAGGAGAGGAGGAGGAGGAGGAGGAGGGAGGATGAGGAGGAGGAGGAGGAGGAGGAGGAGGAGGAGGAGGGGAGAGAGGAGGAGAGAGGAGGAGGAGGAGGAGGCGGAGGAGGAGGAGGAGGAGGAGGAGGAGGAGGAGGAGGAGAGGAGGAGAGAGGATGGAGGAGGAGGAGGAGGAGGAGGAGGAGGAGGAGGAGGAGGGAGGAGAAGGAAGAGTAGGAGAGGAGGAGGAGGAGGAGGAGGAGGAGGAGGAGGAGGAAGAGGAGGGGAGAAGAGGAGGGAGGAGGAGGATGGGGAGGAGGAGGAGGAGGAGGAGGAGGAGGAGGAGGCAGAAAGAGAGAGAGGAGGAGGAGGAGGAGGAGGAGGAGGAGGAGGAGGAGGCCCTCGTCGAGCCCCCGCTGCAGGCAAAGAGCCCTCCGCAGTCGCAGGACCGCCAGGATCGGAACATCGAGGAGCAGAGGCTTCCTCAAAAGTTTCGCCCCGAAAGCCTGCCTGTGTCGGCTTCGCGTGCACACAGCGGAGCGCAATATGCCCTGCGCGGAGCCCACGGCGGCGTGGAGCACCCGGCTGGCGCCCTGCAGGGCGCACCAACTGTGCAGCTCGACCCCGAGCAATGCTCCAGTCAACACCCCGGGCTCGCCCAAGACGCCATCCAGGCCGAACGCCATTCGGTGTGCGCGCGGGCAAGGCCCAAGCTGGCGGTGGCGAGCAACCACCTGACGTTCTTCAACCCTGGGCACAATGTATATGATAACAAATCAACCCCAACAACAGATGACATGCACACACTTATATGACTACGTGTCACATGTGTACTCGCTGGGTGCGCGCTGTCAACCACCCGCCAAAGACAATCATAGTCGGGCCATCCCCCTCTTTCCGTTATTGCTCCTGCTGGCGCTCGTTCGGTATACCAACAATTACATGTCCACAAGAAGAACGGTAGAAATCCGATGCCGCCCATACAAAACTGAGATACGCCCAGGCGTCACATGCGAGAACCTGGCACGGTGGCGGAACTTTCAGAAGCCAACTGGTAGTCATAGTTGGCTGCTGGGTTTGCGAACCAAGGCAACCCTGCCCAAAGACCACCCAACACCTCTCAATGGACCCCCAAACTCCTACCCGACAAACCCCCAAGGGTGGCCACTTCCAAACGTGAAGATGGCTGCCAAGAGACTTGCACGGCACACATCCGTATGTGCCCGATCAGAACAAATATGACTTACACGCACCCACTGGCCCCGCATCCCCAGGCATGGAGCCGGACAAGCGCGGCAGCGCAGTGCAACTGCTTGCCAGTCCGACGACGCGACGGCACAGACAGGCAGGCACGAGAGGCAAAGGCGAGGCCGCCTGCCGCAGAGTCCGCACGAGTAGATCTCTACGATATCCCAACAAGCATGCCCATGCATGTGCGCGTATGTGCGTGTGTGTATACCACAACCATCGCGCGCTTCGCGCGCGCTAAGATTCTAGCTAGCGTGGGCGCAAGACAAGGCAGTGCAATGCAAGTGTCGAGGGGAAGTGGGATGAGGAGAAAAATACGCAGGAAAAGGGTCGAGAATGCGTGGAGTGGATGAAGAAATTTGAGCAATTAGATCCCGGTGCGCCCTCTCGTCTCCTGCGCATCGCCTCCAATACGGCCCAATGAACTAACACGCCGGTGCACGAGTAATGTACCAAACGGCCCGCCGAGTAAATTTCGCTACTGAACAATTAGCCACCCAGCCTGTCAGCCTAATACGCCCAGTCGCGGGTGGCAGACCGACAAACATGCTGAATAGTTTCCGCTGCCGTCCCAACACCGCCTCGGGCTGTACTGGGGCCATCTGCAAGCCCTCCGCACGCGCCCGGGGGAGCCGAAAGTTGCCCGAAGGGATGGCAAAAGGCCTGGTACTCACATCAGGGCCAAGTCGCCGCCTCGTCGCCGCCCGTCGTCTGGACGTGTGTGGCGGTCTGGTAGCTATGCTGTCGCCGCCGCCGCCCCGTCTCCGCCTCGTCGCCGCCCGTCGTCTGGGCCTGGAAGGCGGCAAGGCGGCTATGATGTCTCCATCGCCGCTCTTCGCCGCTTCGTCGCCTCCTCGTCGCCCCCCGTCGTCTGGGCACGCATTGCTTGGCATTGCTTTGCGTTGTTAAGCCGCTTTTGCATTGCATTGCCTTGTGCTGCGCTGGATTGCTATGCCGTCCGTGTTTCGCCATGCCCCGCATTGGCTTCCATTTGTATTACGTTGCATCGCTGTGCATCGATTTGAACAGCATTTTCATCGCATGGATTCTCCTTACCGAAAAAATATGATCCCTCCCGGCTTTATCGGTCCACCTTTTTGGTGTTGCAATTTACGTATGGTTCTGCCCCATCGTCCACCCTTACCATCCCAACCCAACCGGGTTCGCCCCCCCCCCCCCCGCTTTCCTCTGCAATGACTATATATACATATATATCTATGTATATATATGCACATTTTAATCTATATTTATATATAAATACATATATATATATATATATATATATATATGCGCCATTTTTATCCAACATCCAACATGTTCCAACATTCCTTGCAACAAATTAAACGAACTGCACACGCGCGCGCGTCGCCGCGCGCGTATGCCGAATCCTTCAAGAACCTTCGGTTTCGGAGGGATTGCAAAATCGACCACCCCAAACAAAATCAAACACACATGGCCTCCCAACTCGGATTCGCAAAACATGAGTGCGCGCGCTCCTGCGAGTTCTTGAGTTCGCGCGCGCGTCGAAGTCGTTCGAACGGCCTCGCGCGCGCGCCTTCGCGATGATCCTTAACAATAAACAAGACGAGGTGCACGCGCGCGTCGTCGCGCGCGCATGACAAAATCCTTCAAAAATGTTCGATTCCGAAGCGGTTCGAAAAACTGAATGTCTAAAACATTCAAGCGCACATGGTTTCGCAACGTCAAGTTTCAAATAAAGCTTGCGCGCGTGCTCTGGCGAATCCTTAAGAAAACCATGCGTTGCCCAACCTTTTTGTTCATGGCATGCCTGCCACACGGGCTACTGGCGCCGCATGCCACATCATTCGCACGCCCTTGCGCGCGTGCTGGGGGGCACGACCCGCGTCAAATGAAACCATGCGGGCCACTCTCGCGCGTCGTCACCGCGCGCGTGTCAAGCTCTGTCCAAAACTTCCATATCCGACGCGAGGACTCCGTCATCGTCGTCGGCGTGATTCGCATCGGCGCCCGCGCTGGCCGCGCCTTTGTCGGTGCGAACATCGCCACCAGCATCGCCACTGTCATCGTCGTGTCTGCCGTAGGTGGCGTTGCCATGATACCGCGCCCGCACAAGTCGCCGACTCGCAGTGAGGCCCGCTGGGATGCGCCCAGCGGCCAGCGCCACCGCGGCCGCGGCGGTGGCGCCAAACTACCTGGCCGCTGCGCGCGCGTGCTCGGGTTGGCGCGGCCGCAGAGATGCACCAGCCAACGCCAAGCGTGCATCGCAATCGCCACCGCATGGGTTTTGCAAATCAAGTTGCGGGTGGGTGGGCGGGATGTTTGCAAGAGCTTGGGATGTCTCAACTCGTTCGTCAAATCAGTTCTCCTTTTCTGAATGAAGAATAGACTATACCCCCCCCACCGCCACCGCCCCCGGCGTTAACGGGCCCCCTTTTCGCATTGCGATGTACATATGATTCCTGCCCCGTCGTCCATCCTGAATATGAATTCGTACTATCCCAGCCAAGCCGGCATTGCCCCCACCCGCCATCCGCTGCGAAAAACGACACGCGCGCACTGGGTCATCAAGAACCCCCAGCAACGAATGCCACAAAGTCACCGCGCGCGCGTCCATATCACAATCGCACCGAACACATTGCGTTCGCAAGCGTACCGGCATATGATACATATCTATATATATATATAGATACCAAGGGTTTTGAAACATTTCTGTTGCAAATTTCCTGCCCACGCGCCCATGCTAACATCGTGCGCAACCGACGATATTCTTACGAATTCTGCCCAATCCAACGATTCCATGTCCCTGCGCGGCGCACCCGCGATACTCCTCTCATGCGCCGCAGGCGCAAATCCCTTACAACAAATGCCACGCGGGCCACGTGCGCTCACCGCCGCGCGCGCAAGACCAGTCTGACGAATTTGTTGAACTTCCGCGCGCGAAAATTTCATTTTCAACCTTGTCAGCATCACCGCAATCACCGGCCTCATCGACAGATGGACATCAGCATCATCGACGTGTTTGCCATCATTGGCGCCGTTGTCGTTCGTGCCGTCGCCCTCTTGAACATCGACGTCGCTGGTACCATCTTCGTTATTGTCGCAGACGTTGCCGACGTCATATTGTAATTGCGCACGTCCGGGTATCGTCGACATACTCACCTTCATCATCGACTCACGGGGACGAGCATCGGCAGTGAGGATGTTATCATCGATCTCGTCATCGGTGGCGCCGCCGCCCTCCGCATCATGAGTTGTGCCAAAGAAGTTGCGGGTGGGAGGGTGGGATGTTTGCGTGAGCAGTGGAGGCGGTCAAGCGCGGTGCAGGATAGTCACTTGCACCACGTGGAGTTCACCAAATGTATTTCACAACGCCTAGTTTACGGAATCGCTTGCACCACACGCACTGCGCAACAAGCAATGCCCCACATGTATTGCACACCGTAGACGGGCTGCAACAGATATAGTAAACCCCACACGTATTGCACAACAGATGTTGCACGACATGGATTGCACATACATTGCCCCACACGAGTGGCACAACATTAACTGCTGGGCTCCACGCTGGATAACAATGTTAACCCGCGTGGGACCGAAACCAGATGTATATCGCTGTACAAGTTGTGCAAATCATGTGGTGCAACACGCGTGGTGCATTATATGTGGTGCTGTCTATGTGGTACAACGTATGATCTGCAATCGATGTGGGGCAATCTATGAAGTGCAAGGCACGTGGTGCAATGCATGCGTGTGCAACCCATGTTGTGAAAGCTACGTTCTGCACTACATGTATATAGATATTCAATCAGATGGTGTGTACAATATGTGCACATACATACATACATACATACATACATACATACATACATACATACATACACTAGAACCCCCCGCGTGCTACGCGCGCTTAGGTTCCAACCGACTGCGCAGTCGATGTCAGTAGACCTTGCGCTAATCCACGGACCCCAAGATACCAGTGGACAGGTTCCACAGGCGAGGACTGCCCTTGGCACGTGGAGGTGGTGGAACCTGACGCTGCCCCTGAGACTCCTACCCCGCCGGCACCCCTCCCGCCCTCCCGCGCGGGGTCGCCTCCCGCGGCCTGGCGCCCCTCCTTCTGGGGGGGGCGGGCACACGGAGGCGGGGGGAAACCAAAAGGTACCGATGCCGCTACTCTCAGGTCGGGCAGTGCTCCTACAAGCGGAACTTGTGAGACATATGAAAAATACTCCAACAAACAATCACAAATAGTCAAGACAGTCCTGAACATCGTCGCCGTACTAATTTTCTACTACTCTTGAGTCTTCTTCCTGTAGAGGGACATGCCCGACGTAACGCTACTCACCGGACCTCTCCCGGGGCGCGTTCTGACCAGGACTTCGAGGCGACTCCAGCGGTGGCGACGAGGGCCGCCCCCGCGAGGCCAGCAGAAAGGGGAACACGAGGGCAGGGTAGAGGCACGGGCACCTTTTCCTCCTCCGAGGGGGGGGGGGGGGGCGAAGCGCTGAGCCGGCGGCGGCGCGGCGCGGAGGCGCCGCAGGCGCCGCCCGGCCCAGAGCCGCTGCCGCGGCCGCCGAGGCGGGGGGGGCGAGACGCCCCGTGGCCGGGCCGCGGTGCCCCGGGCGGGCACCCCCGCCAGCCAGGTGCGCGGCGGGCCCGAGCGGAGGCGAGGCAGACCAACCTCTCGCAGGCCCCCGCTCGCCCCCCCGGGGAGGAGGAGGAGGAGGAGGAGGAGGAGGAGGAGGAGGAGGAGAAGGAGGAGGAGAAGGAGGAGGAGGAGGAGGAGGAGGAGAAGGAGGAGGAGGAGGAGGAGGAGGAGGAGGAGTCCGTAGCCATTTTGGCTCAAGGGCCACTCTGGCCCTGCTGGGCCCCCCCGCCGCCGCGCGCGGGCCCTGCGGGCCGGCCCCACGCCTCCCGTCCGCCGCGAGCCGCAGGTGCAGGCGGACAGGGGCGATGTCTTGATGCCATGGAATCTCACGAGACGCGAGTCGAGACCGTGGTTCATCCGAGCCGCGGTTTGCCGTTTGTCCTATGCGGCCAGGAAAGGTAAACAGATCGATCTGAAAGACTGGCGGACATTAGCCGCCAGGACACCGTTCCTTACGGGAAAGATAAGCGTGGGAAGCAGGCGAATACTATATATATCGTTGTCCAGGTGCCGTCCTCCCAAGACAACAGCTACAGTGCAGACGTGATCAGCTATAGCTCAGGACAGCAGGATACCCCTTGTTGGCAATGGCAGCTCACCGATATTCGCACGTATGCCTCTTGTCGCGAGGGCGAAGACACAAGCCAGAACGTGAGCGTGCAAGAAGCGTGTGCTGAACCAGAGCGTGCGCGAAGTGAGAAACACCAACGGCCCATCGTCACTGGGCTGAGCCTGGTCACGCCAACCTGCGAGACGAGCGAGGCGACCCAAGAGCCAGACACTGATACGTCGTCAGCTGCATGCTGGGCCATGCGTGCGCGAGAAGTGGCAGCAAGGGCAAAGCAGGGGCGAGACGAGCTACAATGTCTACAACGGCTACCAGTGCGGCTACAGCGACGACCAGCACGGCCACAACGACGAGGCAGTGGCAGCGGGCAGAGGAGTGTGTCTGCGAGAACAGACGGGGGCGGGCAGTGGTGCGAGCAGTGGTGTTGGCCTGCGAGAACAGGCGGTGGCGGGCGAGGCAATGGCAGCGGGCAGCTGCGCAAGCCTGCGAGAACAGGCGGTGGCATGCAGTGGTGCGAGCAGTGGTGCTAGCCCGCGAGAACAGGCGGTGGAGGACAGTGGCGCGAGCAGTGGCAGCGCTGCGACCCTCGACAACCCACCCTCGACGACCCTCGACGACGCCCTTCGACGACGAACTTCGACGACGCCCCTCGACGTACATTCTCGACGACGCCCCTTACCCACCCTCGACGCCCCTCGACGACGCCCTTCGACGACGCCCCTCGTCGACGCCCCCTCTGAGGCGAAGCTGGAGCCCGACCCCATCAGCTGCAGCGCCGCGATGAGGGCATGCGGCAACCGCCTCCACCTGGGAACCGCCGGTTACAACGGTTACAACGGCTACCAGCAATGCGACAACGGCAACCACGACTACAGCGCCTGTAACGGCTGCAGCGGCCACGGCGTCTACAGCGGCTACCAGCGCGGCTACAGCGACGACCAGCACGGCCACAACGACGAGGCAGTGGCAGCGGGCAGAGGAGTGTGCCTGCGAGAACAGAAGGTGGCGGGCAGTGGTGCGAGCAGTGGTGCTGGCCTACGAGAGCAGGCGGTGGCGGGCGAGGCAGTGGCAGCGGGCAGTTGTGCAAGTCCGCGAGAACAGGCGGTGGCAGGCAGCGGCGCGAGCAGTGGTGATAGACTGCGAGAACAGGCGGTGGCGGGCAGTGCCGCGAGCAGTGGCAGCCCTGCGACCCTCGACGACCCCCCTTCGACGACCCTCGACGACGCCCTTCGACGACGACGCCCCTCGACTACGCCCCTCGTCGACGCCCCCTCTGAGGCGAAGATGGAGCCCGACACCATCAGCTGCAGCGCCGCGATCAGGGAATGCGAGCGGACAAATGCGAAGATAGAGCCCTCCATCGGCACAGGCATCACACGCCAGAACACGAGCGCGCGCGAAGTGCCCGACGAACCTGACCGCGTGCAGAGCGAGAAACCTTCGGGGGCACGAGTGCGAGAAGAGAGGGCAGCGGCTGCTGACCCACGGCTGGGCACCCAGACGTCATCAGCTACACGTGCGCGAGAAGAGCCGGCAGCTGCAGCGGGCGACTGGAGGGCTGCCGCCTTGGCCGAGGCCGAGGCTGCGGCAGCAAGGGGGGTCTCTCCCCAACTGCTGGCCGCGATGACCTATAGGCTCCGTATGCATGCGCACGAGCAACACATTCCCATCCCCTTCGAGTGCGCCAATGCCGCCAGTATCTTCGACCAAGTGAGGCAACAGATACGGTTCATAGAGCGGGCGACTGGAGTGTGGGCTTTCCCCAGCTCGTCCGCGACCCTTCCCACGATCCTCCTTCGCGCGTCAGACAAGATCAACAACTCCAGTTTCGAAGAGGCCGTGCGTATGACGGAAGACCTCCTCGAATACGCCCGCGACGTCGACAGCGAGGATGACGACGACGAGGGCGACGAGTCCGAGAGCGGCGTGGAGAAGCTTTCCCACGAGAGCAGTGGCGAGAGGCGGGAAACGGCGGCAGCCGCGGCGGAAGGCGGCGCGACGCCCCAGACGAGACGCACGGTCTCGTTCGCGCCGACCGCAAGGCTCCAGGTGGAGAGGACACGAGTTCGGCAACCACTTGAACGACATCCTCTGAGCGGGGGGGGAAAGTTGGTCCCCCTTCGCCCAACGGCCACGTCGCGGGAGCGACATTAGGCCGCATCGCAAAGGTCGCAAAGGACAAGGACGAGGAAGAGAAGGACAAGGAGGAGGAGGAAGAAGAAGCGGAGGCGGAGGCAGCAGATCACCTCGCAGGCCTCGGGGCCCTCTCCGCAGAGGAGAGGAGAGGGCCGAGAGTGGCAGGCTGAACGTGGGAGGAGTGGGGGGGGGTCGAGCGCAGAGGCCGTGAGGACAGCCGGGCCCAGCTGCTTCGTTCTGCTGCGATCCGGCCACTGGCCTCGTGAGCGCCACGCGTGGGTGGGACTGCCAGGAGGCCCCCTCATCATCCACTCTCCAGGATGGATCCCAGAGCCTTAGAGCCTCTCTGGTTAAAGATGCTGGTCCTTGGAAGGTCCATGTAACCAGGCAAGGACCGTGCGACCCTGACAGCAGGTGCCACTGCGGGCCGCAAGTTGTCAATAGGACATGAAACACAACATAATCGGGAAGACAAATACTGTACATGCTTTTGCTGCCTTGTCCTTACCCGCTGATGCTGCTCATCATCATGCTGGTCGTATCGTATTCCACCTCGTTATCCCTCTTCCCTCCGTCCACCATTCCTCACCATCCTCCTCTCCTTACTGTCGCAAAACGTAGCTCGTGACCTCCGCCTCCCCCGTAGAATCTTAGCAGCGGAGGGCCTGGGTGCGGCAAAGGGACCCGATTTCTCTCGGTCCCCCGTTTGAATGTAGAAAAATAGGATCCGCGTGAGCAAAAACACAACGGACATCGGATCCACAGCATCTGAATCACAGCCGCGCGGACGGAAACTGGGTCCACCACCACACAAATCCAAACCGAACTCGGATCCGCACCACTTCAGTTGGAACCACCAAGGTTTCTCTCATGCGCGACGGCGCAAGGAGTTGAACCCATCTTGTCCAAGCCCTACAAGGAAAAACAACTGTCGTCCTGGGGATAGGCGTTTTGACACTCGGACTTGATTGTTGCGACGGAACCGACGTACCACATCTCACTTTGATTGCCTCCCCGCGTCGCGGGTGAGGCAAAGTGGTGAGATGCTCGGACTTGTTTTTCGTCGCAGAGCCGACATAGCACATCTCACTTTTAACTCCACCGCGTCGCGGGGGAGATGTGGCAAAATGTAGTATGTCCGCTGGGTCAGGGGACGCGCGCCGAAACTGCACTTACGCAAGACAACATATTTTCCCGTTGAGGCGACTCTGTGGCAATGTGTAAGTACACACCCCTCGCCCGTAGAATCTTGGAAGCGGCAGGCCTGGGTGCCGCAACAAGATCCGATTTCTCTGGGTCCCCCGCTGTCAGTAAATAGTATAAATTAAAAAACGGGTCTAAATCGGATCCACGTGAGCAAGAACAAAACGGAAGTCGGATCCGCGCGCACGCGAACTGGATCAACCGCAACAAAACATCCAAATCAATTTCGGATCCGCACCACTCCAATCGGAACCGCCAAGGTTTCTCTCATGCGCGCCAGCGCAAGACTTCGAACATGTTTAAACCATCAGGTCCGGGCACAATAAGGAACAATGTGTTGTCCTGGGGATAGGCGTGTTGGCACTCGGACCTGATATAGTCTTACATCCGACATACCACATCTCACTTTGACTCCCCCGCGTCGCAGGGGAGGCAAGGTGAGATGCTGTATGTCCGCTGGGCCAGGAGACGCAGGCAGAGAACGCATGGACGTTTTGGTACTCGGATTTGTTCGTTGTCACAGAGCCGACATACCACATCTTACTTTTAACTCCACCGCGTCGCGGGAGAGACGTGGTGACATGTGGTATGTCCGCTGGGTCAGGGGACACAGACCGAAAACGCACTTCCGCACGACCAGTCTCTGGGCGACCTGTCCGTGGCGACCTGTCTATGGCAATTCGAAATCACACACCCCTTCCCCGTTTAATCTTAACAGGGGCGGGTCTTGGTGCCCGGGTCTGATTTCTTTCGCTCCCCCGTTGTGATTCAATCGTATATTTCCAACATGGTCCACATCGGATCCGTGCGACAAAAACCACACGGGAATCGGATCTACAATATCTGAATCGCAGCCGCGTGGGCGGAAGACAAATCCACCGCAACACAAATTCAATCCAAATTCGGATCCGCACTTCCTCAATCGGAACCGCCAAGGTTTCTCTCATGCGCGCCGGCGCAAGAATTGAAACCACCATCGTCCTGGGGATGTATCACTCCTGTGCTGGCCCGGGTGCCCCTGAGACTCTTCAGCGTGACACCGACCAAGGCCGCGCTAACGGCGATGTTGGCTAACGGCGATGTTGGGAATCCGACTTTTGTGACGCCGAGCTCGCGCAGAACAAATAGGAGGAAATCACGAACCACACTTTCCCACATTTCAAATGTGCAAATTTATCGAGAGAAACAGACGCAGCGAATTGTAGGAAAGCACGAACCACGATGTCATGCAATTGGTTTGGCCACGAACCAGTCCCACCTACAATGCCGAAACCTACATCGCCGTTACCTACATCGCCGTTAGCGCGTCTACGGACCGAAGGGCTGTGCAGTTACGTAAAATACAACCAAACACAGTTGTAACGTAGCGCCCTTCACCCGCCGCGTCCATGTTGTGTGCTTGCCACGAGAGATGATGCTCCACCGTGCCCCCGGGCACGCTGAAGCGCTGTCAGATCCCAAATGCTGTCTGGTAGGGCTTGTGTAACATTATAGAGCCCCCTCCACTAATCGAAACAGACTTCTGCATTCATCGCCCCACTTCCCGAAACTACGATCTGTTGCTAAAAAAACGATGGTTCCGCGCTCACGAGGCCACGATCTGTCGCAAAGAACGACGCGCCCGCGCTGATGGGGGCAGTATCCACGCTGTCGGCGCCACGGTCCCATGCACATTACCCTGTAACGTACCCAACACATCTGCATCACAGGACAAGTAGAAGTGGCCAGACTTCTATGGACGGCGACAACGGAGGAAATGTCAGTAGTTGCGGATGCTACGCGGGATGCGCGCGCGCGCTGCGCGACTCTCAAGGCAGCGGTACAATGAAAAGGAGTGAGGCCCCAGGCTTGAAGACGACTGGGGGTGGGAACGAAGAAGAGCGGGAGATGGACGGAAAGGACGCCAAAAGGTCAGCGCGGCAACAACAGGGAAACGGAGGAAGGGAGAAACGGACGACAAAGATGCGGCGGGGTGCGGAAGGAGGGTGGCGCTGTTTTTATGCCAGCGGCAAGCAGGACAACCCGCGCCACGTCTGGCGCCTCGAAAGACGCGCTGGTTCATTGGAGGAACTATAAGGTACCGATACTCCCGGGGTGCGTTCTGACCAGCACTTCGAGGCAAATCCAGCGGCGGCGACGAGGGCCTCCGAGGAGGCCCACACAAGGGGATAACGGGGCTGAAGGTACGTGGTGCCTTTCCCTCCTCTGACTGCCTGCCCCGAGCGGGGCGGAGTGCAGGGACACGAGCGGGGCCGAGCTCGCCCGCCGATGTCTCCGCTTCCCTCCTGCACAGCCTCCAGTGCGGGAGCGACAGATGAGCGCCCCGAGGCGCGCCGCCACGCCTGCGCGGGTGGCCGTCTGCGTCGTGCTTTCCGTGGCAAAACCATCTGAGCCCCAGAAACCCATGGCACCCTGGAGGCAAGCAGGGTGTTTCTTGGCGTGGGTTTCCACTGTATTCTGCCCCCCCCGACCCCCGTGCAGCCCTCGAAAGCGGCGACGGTTTCGCAGTTCGCAGCCCCAGGGATGCCTGCTCCCCACGATTCCGACTCCCCAACAGCCCACGCACGAAAGAGGCGACAGTTTCGCAGCTCGCAGCCCCCAAGGGAGTGCGAGGTCCTATCTGCATCTGCGCCTGATACCCGCCATTCTGCCACCCCCATCAGCCCTCGAAAGTGCCGACGCTTCCGCGCTTCGCAGCTCCCCAGGGATGGCGAGGTCCACCCAGCAGCCCTCGAAAGCGGCGACGGTTTCGCAGTTCGCAGCCACCGAGGGATGGCAGAAAAACATTGGGATCTGCGCCTGGTGCACATTGTTCTGGCACCCCAACAGCGTTTGAAAGTGGCTACGGCTTTGCAATTCGCAACGATTCTAATACTATCCAGGTCCAGTCTGGATCTGCGCCTGGTACCCGCTATTCTGCCCCCCTCCTGAACAACCATTAATGGCGCAAATGTCGCATTTCGAAACACCCAGGGATGGCGAGGTCCAACCTGAATCTGCGCCTGGCACCTGCTACTCTGACCCCCCCCCCAGCAGGCCTCGACACTGGCGACAATTTCGCAGTTCGCAGTCCCCCAGGGGTTGAAAGGTTTAGACTGAATCTACGCCTGATACCAACCAGTCTGCCACCCCCAGCAACCATCGAAACGGGCGGCACTTACGCACTTCGCAACTTTCGAGAGATGGCGATGTCCAGTCTGAATTTGCGCCTGGTATCCGCAATTGTGAACCCCCCCACAGGCCTCGAAAGTGGCGAGAGTTTTGAATTTCGCAGGCTCCGAAGGGCGGCGAGGTATAATTTGAATATGCACATAGTACAAACTGTTCTGGCACCCCTGCAGTTTTCAAAATTGACAGGACCTTGACAGTTCGCAGCATCCCTCATCATAGCGAGCTCTAATCTAGATCTGCGCCTGGCGCCCGTCATCTGCCCCCACCCTGAGTAACCTTCGGAAACGGGCGACGGCTTCGCAATCCAGGGATGGCGAGGTCCAGTCTGAATATACGCCGGGTACCTCCCCCCCCGCAGCCCTCCGAACTAACGATAATTTTGCAGCTCGCCGTCCCCCTGAGATGGCCTCACTATCTGGTCCCCCAACAACCTTCGAACGCACCAGCAGTTTCGTTCGCGGCCCCCAGGAATAGCTAGGTCGAGTCTGCATCTGCGCCTGGTACCCACTATCCTGCCCCCCGGCAGCCCTCGAAACTGGCGACGATTTCGCAGTTCGCAATCCCCCAAAGACGGCGAGGTCCAATGTGCATCTGCGCCTGGTACCCACCATTCTGCCCCCCCCCCCTCCCAACAGCCCTCGAACGTGGCGCCAGTTTCGCCGTTTTCAGCCCCCCCCAAAGATTGCGAGATCCAGCCAGAATCTGCGCGTGATGCCCGCGATCCTTCTCCCCCCCGCAGCCCTCGAAAGTGGCAACAGCCTCGCAGCCCGCAGTGCGAGGTCGCGCTCGGCATCCACGTTTCTCAGAAACGTGGATGCCGAGGGCTGCTGGGGGGTGCCAGGAGTCCTGGCACCCCCCAGCAGCCCTCAAACTGGCGACGGCTCGCAGTTCTGAACCGCCTAAGAATTGTCAAGAAACTCGCCTCGATGGCACATCGGTTGCAGATCACTCGCACGAGCACACGCGCAGCATTGCGCCAACGTCAGATTCAACTTTTCCGCGAAGAAGGGAAAATCGCAATCATCGTCGCTGGCGCCAAGGGGCAAATGCGGGGTAGAAGTGTGTTCACCCGCGCCCGGCCCCGCAACGAGGCCCGCGCGGTGGACGACCCGGAAAACAGCGGTAGCACGGGGCACAGGAAGGAACCACACCCAGGGACCAGGACGAACCCGGAGCCTGGGGAGGGAGGATAGCGAGCGACAGGAACGACGCCCGAAAAAAAGGAGGAGGGCAAAAAACCCGACCGACAGCCCGAAGGACGAGCAGGAGGAAGAGCAGGCAAAGGAATGACGCAGGACGGCGAAGAAGGGACGACGACGACGACGACGACGACAACACCAACCGGAGGGCAGGCTGATGGGAGCTGGGACACACTGCGAGTGTTTAACATTCATCCCCTAAAACAAATAATAAGATTGCACCCCAAGACGTCTGGATGGTGAGGAAAGGAATTGGAACATTGCCTCCACACTTCCTGTTTCCATGCTGGGCGGTTGTCCGTCTGTCCGATCGTTCGTCGGGCGGCATTTTCGTGGCTCAGAACCCCGCCGCGCATGCGCATTGCAATTGTCAGAGCGCGCGCGAACAATACAGAAGCCCACTGTAGTCGGGGACGCCCTTTGCTGCGTTTCCTGGGGTCGAGGACGCGCGAATTCCCGCTGTGGAAAATACCCTGGCGAAGCAGCGGACAGCTCTCCATAACGCAACAAATGCTTGGCAAACTCGCGGTGGCTTAAACATGTTTGCGTTGCTCTGCATCGCACCTCTGTCTTGCTAACATGTGATAGCATCGAGTGTGCACCATTGAGAATGTTGCGAACATGCATCGCGTGAAAAGCATCGATATTGCCTCGGTTTACCGCGCGCAGACAACATGCGTCGAGACTGCACATAAACTTGGACACCACTCAATCATTCAACTAGTTGATGTGTTTGGCCCTATTTCTGCTGGCATGCTCCCAGTGGGCTTGCAGCGCATCGAAATTCGCGCGGGTTTCAACCACCTGGCGGGCGACTGAGGCCTTTGTTGTCCCGTCGGCCTGGAGGCGGCTGCCCAGGTAGACCGTCGACGTGACTGTTTTGAGCGGTATGCCCTGCGACGCGCGGATGTTTTTATCATGCCGGATGCGCAACCGCACGGTCTTGTCCCGCTTGCTTGGGCTCCAGTCCGTACATGCGAGCCCTGTAGAACAACCAGTCCAAGGAAAACTGCGACCATTCGGTGCAGTTCGACACGAGCGCCGTGTCGTCGGCGTACGCCACGCCGGCACTTAAAACATTAGCGCGCGCGCGCGTTTGGACTGCAAAATAACGTGTTGTTCGACATCCCCAAACAGCACGCTCAACTCGATGATGAACAAATACAAGCTCAGGGGGCATCCTTTCGCGATGCCAGAGGACTGCGCGTGCGGGTTGCTGATGCAATGCTCGTCTTTCACCTCAAACGAGCGGCCATCGCACATAACAACAATTATCTGGATGCACGAGTCGGTTAGGCCAAACCGGGCAAGGGCCATCAGCAGAGCGGAAAAAAAGGCCCACTCGGTGGAACATCGTAGACCAATCGAGCAGGACGGGCGAAAGCTTGCTGTCGTTTCCGGCCCACGTTTGCTCGGTGCATCTATGCAACGATGAAGACGGCATGCCTGGCGCCCCGTTTTTTTCGGAAGCCGAGCTGGCTCGGCCGAAAGCGTCCCTCGGCAACGCCATCTGAAAGGCTGTTCAGCAGAGGAACAGCCAGAATTTTGTAGCTCACAACTGGGACTGATACGGGTCTGTAGTTGGACAGCAAAGACTCCTCCCCTTTCTTGTACATCGCTCTTACCTGACTGTGCCGCCACGTCTGCAGAACTTGTTCCTGCTGCCCGCAGCGGCTTAGCAAGTCCAAGAGAACGGCACGCGCATCATCATTGCCGCGAAAAATTTTCCAAACATCGGGCGGGCTGTCCGCCCTGAAGCCGGTTCGGCTGCTTTTCCCGCCTGGGGCCTGCCCAGCACGGCGCGCAGCTCGGTTGCAGTGAAGTCCTCCGCCGGGAGGTCCAAATTACCGCGCGCGCCTCTGTCCGCGCGAAGAAATCGCGATGGCGCGGGCGGGGACTACTGCACATCGGAAAAGGACGTTGCCATGGACTCGGATCTGTGCACGCTGTCCACGAGGTGATTCCTTTCGTCTCTCAGTCTGCCCTGGGGCTTCACCTCTCGCTTCTTGAATCTCTGGCTGCTCTCCCAGCTTCCGTCTGCGAGCATGTTCATCCAGCTAGGAATGGCGAGGTCCAATCTAAAACTGCGCCTGATACTTATGATCCTCCAGCGGCCCTTGAAAGTGACGGCAGTTTCGCAGTCCGCAGCCCACCCCCAAGGATAACGAGGTCCAATCTGAATCTGCGCCTGGTACCATTATTCTGGTCCTACCCAGCAGCCCTCGAAAGTAGCGACGGTTTCGCAGTTCGCAGCTCCCCAGGCATGGTGATGTCCAATCTGAATCAGCGCCTAGTACCCTCTACCCTGCCCGCTCCAGCAGCCCTCGACAGTGGCGAGAGTTTCGCAGGTCGCAGCCCCCCCCCAAAGAGATGGCGCGGACCAACCTGAATTTGCGCTGGGTGCGACAGCTTCGCCACTCGCAGCCCCCCAGGGATGGCGAGGTCTACTCGGAATCTGCATAGGACGTCAATCTGGTGGACCCCCAGCCAAACTCGAAACTGGCGACAGTTTCGCACTCCGTAGCCCCCCAAAGACGGCGGAACAGGAGGCAGGAAGCAGGAGTGAAACATGGATGGATGCGGGAGGTGGAGACCGCAGCGCTCTATTCAAAACGAAAACCCAACGCAGGAGCGCTAGGGACAACGGCCGAGGCAGGCTATGACCTCCAACATGGCAAGATGTCTCTAAGGCGGCCCAAGATGACACCAAAACGCCCCAAGATGACCCTAAGACGGTCCAAGAGGCCCCAAAGACGGCCCAAACGGGTGACAGCAAGACATCCTTATATGCCCCGAAAACCAAGTCTTTGACTGCCGTAGTTTTTTGGAGGGTGTTGGCGTTCCTTTGATCGGGAGTCCTCAGTTCCAGGCGGGTTTACAAACCAGAAAGCCTCTCTGCAGGGACCCACGGCGGCCTTCTGGAGCCACTCGACGGCCCAAGACATCCCCAAGAAACATCCTAGACAGACAAAAAGGCCCCCAAACGGCCAGAGAGAACCCCAAGACGGCCCAAGGAGGTCCCAAGAAGGCCCCAAGACGGCCCAACAAAGGGACCCCAAGACTGCCCTAGCAAGAGCCCAAGGCAGCCACGAAACGGCCATCAATGAGCTCCTCCTCCACATCAGCAACACCATGACGTTTCACATCACACTCGTCCACTACGATGTTCCACCTTCTCCTTCTCCTCCTCCTCCTCATCCTTTTCCTTCTCCTCCTCCTCCTCCTCCTCCTCCTCATATCCTCTCCCCCTCATCATCGTTTTTTTCCCTACCCTCAGGAGGGAAAACCACACAGACACAAAGAATCCCCGATTCCCAGGGACATGGGGAAATATGGGAAGTGGGGGGGGAAGACGAAAATCAAGAAACCACGAGATCATGGGGGGAACCCTGAGCTTCGTGTGTTTATTTCTTTGCGAATGTGTCCCTGGGCCCCCTCATACCCCACCTCAGGACGACCTCGAACGACCCGTGAAAAACCAAATACTAATGACATAAGCATAAAAACTCGAAGATCCGCGCGGATTTCTTGGATCGGCGCTGGGCCCCCCTCCCTGGTGCGCGGAGCGCGCCAGGGGCGGCGCCGGAGGCGCCGCCAGGGGCCCCCAGCGCCGATCCAAGAAATCCGCGCGGACCTCCGAGTTTGCATGTTTATGTGATCGCGTGTTCCCCCGAAGACAGCCGAGGCATGCGACGGCGCCGTGACCGCTGCTCCCACCGCCGCTCGATCCACACGTCAGCGGCTTCCGGCGCCGCCCCTCGAGCGGCTGCCTCCGCAAAGGAAGTGCAGGACCGGCACGCCGGCGGGACTCGCCGTGTATGCAGCTGGATAGTTCTGCAGTTTCTCGGGGGCGACGATCGGGTCAGGGGCAACGGTAGGGGGGGGACTGGCACAGGGCGGGATGCATCGACCTGGAATCGGCGATGCATCGCCGATAGATCGCCGATAGGCCCCGACAGTGAATCCGCACCTTCATGGGCGGGGTGGGGCCATCAGAGCCCTATCGGCGATGGATGGGCGATTTGGGGGTCGATTCATCCCCCGCTCTGCCTATCCCCACCTATCGCTGCCCCTGGAATAGCCCAGGGGAGAGTGATACATGTATCCAGGGGCGCAGATGGTCCTTGCCTTCGGCGAGGCCCCCGGGCGAATAGATCTGATGCACGACCCTGGCTTTTCGCCCCCTGTCGCCGCCTCCGAGTTCCGTCGGGCGTGCGAATGTCGCGGGCGGATCCTAGCTGGCGCATCTTTGAGGCACAGCCGTGCCAACAAATGTTTTCATCCAGCAGCGGCACCGGTTTAGATCGCCACTCCCATTTGGCCAGAACCCAGCCTGCGCACTGAAGGTCGACGCTCACGCGGCGCCCTACGGCGAAGGATTTTTTTTTGTGAGCACCGCGCGCACCAGTCTGCGGCTTGGCATTGAGGCTCCGCCTCCAGCCCGATCCGCCAAGACTCGACCTTGCACGTCCTTCGCACTCTTCTTCTGGGCCGTGTGGCGCGTCGCCCATAGCCCGATCGGAACTTCGCCGACAAGGCTTGCGGCACCGAGCTCCACCAGATGCCCGCGGAGGCATGGTCGAAACGTTCCAGTCAAACCGCATAAAAAGGGTGCGCGATAAGGATGCAAGGGCCTTCGAAGTCCATGTCGACGCTTTGCGAGCGGAGCGCGGCCAGCGAAAGCGGCCAAGAATGGGCCAAAGGGGAAGGATGCAAGGGTAACCTTTGAAAGTCGCTCAGCCTTACGACGCGGGTTGACGATACTGCTGGATCAGCCTCTCCCAGGGGTCAGAGACGTAACGACTTGGTGAAGCGCAAGACTGGGACCATATGGGTCGTCCTGACCCCAGGCACGTGTTTCGTGATCGGCCATGCTCCTCAACGATCCGGTCGCGGGAGTGCACACCTGCCCTCGCTGCGCGTCGTGCGCCTCCTGTGCAACAGGCCGCTGCGACCATCAAGTGCCGCGTGAGAAGCACCGCCGTTTGCGCCTCTGCCGCAGCGTCCATCCAGCGCGTGTTCTGCGGTTAGGTCGGGCGTATCCTCCTACAGGCGGACTCTAGACGAAAAATGAGAAATAACCAAACAAAAACATCAAACATAGTAAAAAACAAAATCGTCCCCTTACTATGTTTTTACTATCTTTGAATATTCCTCCTGTAGAGGGACGTGTCCGACTTAATTCTACGTGGGCAATTCCTCGTCCATGCGCAGCGCCTCTGAGGCGCCTCAGAGCGCCTCAGGAGACCCAGATCTGCCAGAGGCCCTCTGGCACGTCTGGGTCTCCTGGGACGTCGCCGCCACCGTCGCCCCACGCCCCCCAGGTCTCCTGGACCTCCGTCGGGCCCAGCGAGCTGTGGTGCACCTTCCTGTCGTGGATCGCCCGCCGGAAGCCGGACCAAGCCTCCTCCGAGCCGTGGCCGGTGCCCGGGTAGGCGAATTCAAGTGACCGCAGCGAAGAGGGCGCGTTGCGAACGAACGTCTCGAGCGTCTTGAGCACGAGGTCGGCCCCGAACGCACCGACGTAGGGCGAGCAGAGCCACGGAACCTGGAGCTGTGGGGGGCACCGGTCGGCATTCGCCAGGGCCGTGAAAAAGGCAGCGATGCCAGGCATGGTCACCGAGTCGACGCGCCACTCTGCCTCTTCCTGAACCTCGGACTCATGGTCGAATTTCAAATACAGTGTCTGTAGGTGAGGCAGTGTGCACACACACCGTGCCAAGTGGACCAGAGCTTGGTCGTCCAGCCCGATGAGAGACAGCTGCAAAAGCTGCAGTGTCTGTGGCCAGCACATTATATCAACACGCTGAATCAGCAAACTCCCAAAGTTCGACAGGTGCCGGAGCCGCAGACGCCTCAGCGGCGCCGTGGACAGGAGATCGTGCAGCCCCCGGACACTCCGCTCCGTTGAGAGCAGCAGATCTCGGACACGTGTACTCTCCATCCAAGTGTCGAGATCGCTGGCGCCGACGAGAGCGAGCTCCTCCAGCTGGGGGCAGCACGCGATGCCCTCGACTAGCGAGGCAAAAGCCTCGTCGGAGAACACAGCCACAGTCAGCATCAAGACACGTAATTGGACCATTCGCCCCAATTTCGCACCAACGTACTCGCTGAGGTCGTCACTCATCCACCACAGGGACCCATGCGCAGCACGCATGTCCAGCGACTCCAGGCGCTTGCACCGGCTCAGGCAGCCCATCAAAGCGCGGACGACGGGCTCCTCTATAACACCCTCCCACCTGGAATCGTCTTCTGTTGCGTTGGCCTCAGGCAACTCCGCCATCACCGTAAGTGACCGCAACTTGCTTTGAAATGTGAGCGACGATCAAAAACGGGTCCTACGTGAGATGACGTAGCGACCTTACGCGGTAGCTTACATGGGCTGCCGGCGCGGCACGCTACGCAGGAAGCAAGGGCGCTTACGCGCGACCTTGCGCGAGCAGCTTACGCGCCATCGTCGGCGAAGACGGCCCCGTTTTCTTCCCTCGCGCATGTGAGACCCGCCATCAACCAGCCCAGGCAACAATTCACGTCCCCACCGAAGCCGTCGTACTCCCTGTCAGCAGTGGGGGCAATCGACAAGACGAAGTCGACGACCTCCTGCGGGTCCACTGCGCACAGCAGCAGTGGGTGCCAGCAGGCGAGGTCCAGCCTCAAGCGGGGGACGATGAGCCGGCGAGTGCCCGAGAGCGTCAGCGCCAGGGACTTCCTGGAGCTAAGCGACAACTGCCGCACGTCGTCTGCCAGCAGATTCCCGAGCAGATTGTTGACCCATACGGGCTCCAAGGATTCGAGCGGTGACCACCCGACCACGGTGACAGCTCCCGCGCGCTCCTGGCCAAATGTGCAGCTGGAAGGGCGGCCAAGAGCCATCAATGCAACTACCGTGTGGGGAGCCAAAGGCAATCTGCGGGGGCGCGCGGCGTAAATGGGAACCAACAGGCTACGGAAACCTTCACACACCCACGCACACACAAACGCACATACGTACGCAAACTCACAACAAATCATATCATACAAACAAGCAAACACAACTTACACACAACAACACACACCGCTCACACATACGAGACACATACACAACAATAATAATAATAATAATCATCATCATCATCATCATCATCATCAGCATCACCATCATCAACATCATCAACATCATCAACATCATCGACATCAGCATCAACATCATCATCAACATCATCACCATCACCATCAGCATGATCACCGTCATCATCATCACAACCATCATCGTCATCATCGTCAGTGTTGCCCTCGTCGTAAACATCATCGTCAACCTCGTAAACATCATCACCACCACCATCACCGTTATCAGCATCATCACGATCGTCAACATCCCCATCATCAACATCATCGTCAGCATCAGCACAACCATCATCATCATCATCATCATCATCAACAACAGCAGCGTACCCATCATCATCAACACCACCTCATCATCACAATCAAAGATAAGCACCATGATCACCAGCAGTAGCATCGTCGTCATCATGATCGTCATCATCACAAACACCATCACCATCATCGTCACCACAATCACCATGATCACCTTCATCACCATCACCATCACAACCATCCTCCTCACCATCAACAATCGAAACACACGTTCGTGTCTCAGCCTGCGCGCACAAACAAGGGGGAGTCTCACTCGGACCCCGAACGGCGCACGGGGCCCCAGCCCGTCTCCCGAAGGGCCACCCCGTGTGCAGACGATGCCAGGCCTTCTCTCTCAACTCTTCGGCCCGCGGGGGGAGGGGGAGGCGAGGAGGGCGGGCACTGCGGACAGGGGCTGCAGTCCCGGCACAACGGCGCGAGCGCGCCGTTAGCATTCCATGGCCCGATCTATGGCCGCGGTGTTCCAGAAGCGGGGCTCCGTGTGCAAAGAGTCAGGGCCCCCCCTCTGAAAGCATTGGGCTGTACCTCCATGGGATGGTGGCCATGGTCGTAGTGAAAACCTAGCAGAGCAGTGCTTAATGAGGGAGGGCACTTCAGAGGAAGCTGCAGTGTCGACAACAAACACATTAGGTTTGCTCGGCATTCGTGGGATGTAACCTTACATAATCAATGAACAAAATCATGAAACCGTGCCGAAAGCAGCAACTGGTGCATACTCCACCGAGTTATCTGGTTATACACCTGAACTGAGACGGAGGCCTGAGACTGAAGATGGACCGCGGAACACCCTTGGAAACAAATCGTACAACCATCGGGACAACCATCGGGAAAACCATCGGGACAACCACGGGGTAACCAACAACACAACCATCAAGACAACGACGGGACAACCATAGGGACAATCACCGGGACATCAACCGGGACAACAATCGAGACAGCCGTCGAGACATCAATCGAGACACCCATTGGGACAACCATCTGGACAACCGTTGGGACGCTCCTCGGGACACAATCCCCAGGACAAGAATCTGGACGAGCATACCATCGGGGCAACCATCGGAACGACCACTGGGAGACCCGTCGGGAGACTTGCCGTCGCTCGGACGTCCATTTCCCGTGCATTTTTCGGTTTCGTGCGTGTTTTTGTTGCTCGATGGTCCAGGATGGTCCTCGGTGGTTCTCGCAGAGAAAAAGTGCACACGTCCGAGCGATGCCAAGGAGAACAGCAGGGTGCCGTCGGGACGCCCATCGGGACAGCCCAGGCTGGGCCGGCCAGCGTGCGCCCACCGCCCGAGGCAGCCCAGACAAGACCCAGCCAGCGCAGGCAGCGCCCACGAGAGGCGCCCACGGCCGCCCTACCGCCGGCACACCTGGAGACATCGGGCCAGCGCGTGTACAGTGAGGGTCTTGACCTTGGGGCGGCGGACGACGAAGACCTCAAGGACGCAAGAGCAAGGAAGAGCAAGGACGCAAGGGTGCCCTGAGCAAAGTCGCGCGTCCTTATTGGGGCTTTTGACTGTAAGGCAAAGGGGGCGGCTGCGCGGAGCCCATGGGCGCCCACAAACGATCGAGAATCCAATCGAGCTGGAAGGGAGAGGATGCGCGAAGAGGGCGCGGGAACTTCTCGAGGGCGACACCGCCAGTGGGATGTAGAGGGCGCGGGCTGCGAACACTTGGTGCAAGGGGTACCCTTAATTTGGTGCTACTCAAACTCAAATGTGTGCGTTGAGACTGCACTGATCTCTCTGTGTACAGCCCGTGTCCGAAGGAATTGCTTCCGTACCATGTGATTGTCATCGTACACACTTCCAAGTCAGACTGATTTGCTCGATGTAGTCACCTCCTGCTCTGAACAACTTTCTCTCCACAGTGAGGGCTTTAGAAAGCGCCTTCGGGTACTCAAGTCAGACTCTGTGTCAAAACATGTTCGCGTGCTGCAAAACTCCTGGCTAGACGCCACTCCCTTGGTGACGAACACACACGCCATGCACAATATGACTCTCACTGTCTAACTGTCATTCAGCGTTCTCAAACCGTCAGCGCGTCGCTGAAGAGAACTACATTTGGCACCACAACAGAAAGCGATTGTCACCGTAACGCTACGTCTACTACAAACTAGAATCGCAAGCCTGTAATCACTGCCAGTCTGGCATCACATGCTGCGTTCGCAGCGTCACTACCTGCGAGCACCTACGGCGTGCTGCTTGGGCACCGGACAACGAAATACCATGAAGTTCCTACGCTGGGGCAACGGATACCATGTTGGGTGTCTATTTTGATGCTTGTCAGGCAAGGCGAACTGCCATACATGGGGAAATCCAACACGTAGGCAGATTATGTTTACGCGCAGATGTTCACAGGATCGGCTGTGTTAGGAGATGAGGGAGAAACAATCCGATCGACTGGCTATGCCGTCGCCAGATCACATATAAAATGCCAGATCGCAACAGAATGGGCTTGGACAGTGTGTATATATATATATATATATATATATCCGCCAGCCCCCTCCGGGGGGCGCAAGGCTGCGAAGGTGTGTGCGGTCTGCTGTAATGTGCCATGCGTTGTCACTTGTGCAAACTTGCCACTGGATCACCCTGTACTTGAAAAAGGGAGGCAGGTTCGGACCCCCCCTTCAAAGGGGGGGTGAGATTTTCGAGCCCCCTCCCCCTCTCCTCCTCAAGGGTGGGGGGAGAGTCCGAGAACCCCCCTCTTCCCCTCTTCTCCCTTGAAGGGGGGCGGTTCCGCACCACCCCCCCTTCCCTCCCCGTTGGCGCTGGAAAGGGGCAGAATGGGGGGGTTCGACCCCCCCCCCTCCCTCACTTCGTGCCGGACACAGAACCAGGGAGAGGGCCTCTCCCACTGCTCTTTTCTGCGCCGGAGAAGGTGGGTAGGGAGAGTGGAGGAGGGAATAGCGAGTAGTGAGTAGTGAATAGAAAGTAGCGAATAGCGAATAGTGAGTAGTGGGTAGTGCATAGTGAGTAATGAGCAGTGAGTAGTAGTGAGTAGTGAGTAGTGATTAGTGAACAGTGGGTAGCGAGTTGTAAATGATGAGTAGTGAGTAGTGGATGCTAAGTAGGGAAAAGGGAGTAGTAGATAGTGGGTAGTGAGTAGTCGGTGGTTAGTGAGTAGTGAGTAGTGGGTAGAAGGTAGTGCGTAGTGAGTAATGAGTAATGAATAGAGAGTAGTGGATAGTAAGTAGTTAGCAATGAGTTGTGCCTAAAAGTGCCGAGTAGTGAGTAGGGAGTAGTGAGTAGTGAACAATGAGTAGTGAGTAGTGAGTAGTTAGTAGTGAATGTGAATGGCGAATACTGGGTAGTGGTTCGTGAGCAGTGAGTAGCGAGTAGGGAATAGCGAATAGAGAATAGCGAGACGCGAGTAGTGTGTAGTGAGGAGTGGACAGGGAGTAAGCTGAAGTGAGTAGTGCGTAGTGAATAGCGAATAGGGGGTAGCTAGTAGTGAATAATTAATAATGGGTAGGGTGTAGTGTGTAATGAGATGTGAGATCGGGGTAGCGAGTAGTGGGTAGTGAGTAGTGAACAGTGAGTGGTGGGTAGCGAGTAGAGCGTGGTGAGTAGTAAGTAGTGAGTAGTGACTAGTGAGTGGGAAGTTTTGAGTTGTGAGTTTTGATTCGTGAGTAGTGGGAAGTGAATAGGGAGTATTCACTAGCCAGTAGCAAGAAGCGAGTAGTGCGTAGTGAGTTCATGAGGAGTGTGTAATGAGTAGAGAAAAGGAAGTAGGGAGTAGTGAGTAGTGGGTAGTGAGTAGTGGGTGTTGAGTAGTGAGTATTGGGTAGCGAGTACCGAATAGGAAGTAGCGAATCGTGAGTAATGTGTAGTGAGTACTGTGAAGGGAGTAGCGAGTAGAGAATAGAGAGTAGAGAGTACTGAGTGATGGGTAGTGAGTAGTGAGTGGCGAGTAGAGAGTAGAGCGTGGTGAGTAGTGAGTAATGAGTAGCGAATAGTGAGTACTGGGCAGTGAGTAGTGCGTAGTGAATAGTGAGCAGTGAGTATAGAGCAGTGAATAGTGAATAATGAATGAGGAGTAGGCAGTAGGAAGCAGTGAGTAGTAAGTGGGTAGTAGATAGCGAGTATCGAATACTGATTGGGGCTAGGGTTAGGAGTTGGGTTTCGGGTCCGGGGATAGGGTGAGGATTAGGGTTAGGGGTGGTAGGGAGGGCGCGTTCTGGAGTCCGGATGCGGCGTGGCGAAAAGGGGGGAGGGGGGGGGCTCGAATTTCGAGCCCAAGGAGGGGGGGGGTTCGGATCCCCCTCCTTTAAAAAGGGGGGGGTCCCCGACGACGGACCGCGAAAAAGGGGGTGGAGGGGGGGGTCCCCGACGACGGACCCGGAAGGAGGGGGGGTCCCGGACGACGGACTGGGGAAAGGCGGTGGCTGGGGGTTCCCCCCCCCCCCCTTGGGGAGATCCAGCGGCGCGCCCTCGTTGTTTGGCCTTTTGTCTCTCCACTCCTGTTTCCTGCCTACTGTTTACTGTCTGATAAAGAGCCCCGCCGCGCCACCAAACAGCCAACCGGGG